AGACACGGGGAGAGAGACACGGGGAGAGAGAGACACGGGGAGAGAGACACGGGGAGAGAGACACAGGGAGAGAGAGAGAGACACGGGGAGAGAGAGACACGGGGAGAGAGAGACACGGGGAGAGAGAGAGACACGTGGAGAGAGAGACACGGAGAGAGACACACGGAGAGAGAGACACGGGGAGAGAGAGAGAGACACTGGGAGAGAGACATGGGGAGAGAGAGACACGGGGAGAGAGAGACACGGGGAGAGAGAGAGACACGGAGAGAGAGAGACACGGGGAGAGAGACACGGGGAGAGAGAGACACGGGGAGAGAGAGAGACACGGGTAGAGAGAGAGAGACACGGGGAGAGAGAGACACGGGGAGAGAGAGAGACACGGGTAGAGAGAGAGAGACACGGGGAGAGAGAGACACGGGGAGAGAGAGACACGGAGAGAGAGAGAGACACGGTGAGAGAGAGACACGGAGAGAGAGAGACACGGAGAGAGAGAGAGACACAGGGAGAGAGTGTGACACGGGGAGAGAGAGAGACACGGGTAGAGAGAGACACGGGGAGAGAGAGACACGGGGAGAGAGAGAGACATGGGGAGAGAGAGACACGGGTAGAGAGAGACAGGGGGAGAGAGAGACACGGGGAGAGAGAGACACGGGGAGAGAGAGAGACATGGGGAGAGAGAGACACGGGTAGAGAGAGACACGGGGAGAGAGAGAGACACGGGGAGAGAGAGACATGGGGAGAGAGAGACACGGGGAGAGAGAGACTCGGGGAGAGAGAGAAACACGGGGAGAGAGAGACACGGGGAGAGAGAGAGACACGGGGAGAGAGAGAGACACGGGGAGAGAGAGACACGGGGAGACACGGGGAGAGAGAGACATGGGGAGAGAGACACGGGGAGAGAAACACGGGGAGAGAGAGAGAGACACGGGGAGAGAGAGACACGGGGAGAGAGAGACATGGGGAGAGAGAGAGAGACACGGGGAGAGAGAGACACGGGGAGAGAGAGACACGGGGAGAGAGAGAGACACGGGGAGAGAGAGAGACACGGGGAGAGAGAGACACGGGGAGACACGGGGAGAGAGAGACGGTGAGATAGAGACACGGGGAGACACGGGGATAGAGAGACACGGGGAGAGAAACACGGGGAGAGAGAGACACGGGGAGAGAGAGACATGGGGAGAGAGAGACACGGGGAGAGAGAGACACGGAGAAAGAGACACGGAGAGAGAGACACGGGGAGAGAGAGAGACACGGAGAGAGAGAGACACGGGGAGTGAGACACGGGGAGAGAGAGACACGGGGAGAGAGAGAGACACGGAGAGAGAGAGACACGGAGAGAGAGAGACACGGGGAGTGAGAGAGAGCCACGGGGAGAGAGAGAGACACGGGGAGAGAGAGACACGGGGAGAGAGAGAGACACGGGGAGAGAGAGAGACACGGGGAGAGAGACACGGGGAGAGAGGGAGACACGGAGAGAGAGAGACACGGGGAGAGAGACACGGGGAGAGAGACACGGGGAGAGAGGGAGACACGGGGAGAGAGACACAGGGAGAGAGACAGGGGGAGTGATATATTTGATTTCAGGCCATGAACAGCAGTGGCAGCTATGGGTGTACAGCTCCTCTAGAGCAGTTTTGAGTGAAGATCTCACAGATACATTGTTGATTTAAAGCTTTCGTGACTGCAGGGATTCATATTCTTGGTTCTTTCGGTTAAAGTCACCACCACGTAGATAGGGGAAACAATAAAAATAATAAAAATATAAAACAATAAAATTATTGTAAAACAATTAAAATTATTATTCTTGGTTCTTTCGGTTAAAGTCACCACCACGTAGATAGGGAAACAATAAAATAATAAAAATATAAAACAATAAAATTATTGTAAAACAATTAAAATTATTATTCTTGGTTCTTTCGGTTAAAGTCACCACCACGTAGATAGGGAAACAATAAAATAATAAAAATATAAAACAATAAAATTATTGTAAAACAATACAATTATTAATCTTGGTTCTTTCGGTTAAAGTCACCACCACGTAGATAGGGAAACAATAAAAATAATAAAAATATAAAACAATAAAATTATTGTAAAACAATTAAAATTATTATTCTTGGTTCTTTGGGTTAAGTCACCACCACGTAGATAGGGAAACAATAAAAATAATAAAAATATAAAACAATAAAATTATTGTAAAACAATTAAAATTATTATTCTTGGTTCTTTCGCTTAAAGTCACCACCACGTAGATAGGGAAACAATAAAAATAATAAAAATATAAAACAATAAAATTCTCACGACGTTTCGACTGCAACACAAGAAGCAATCATCATCAGGGTGTGAAAACCACAGCAAGAAAAATGTTCAAAATTTTGAAAAATGGGAGGCTGATCGATGCCCGGGTGCGGTCAAGGGATGGGTCCCTATTGCTCAACCACGTTATGTATGCCGATGATTTGGTAATAGCTGCTCATTCAGAGGAGGAGTTGGAGACGCTGCTGCTGAGACTGGAGCGTGCCACTAAGAGATGGGGCCTTACCATCAGCCCCACCAAAACTAAGCACCTGCCTGGGTATTTTGTACCATCGGACACTCCACCATCACAACTCCCAATCGGTGATGGGGCAGTTGTAGAGAGAGTGGAGAGTTTCCCATACCTGGGCAGTGTGCTTATGACCGGCTCCAGTTTAACAGCAGAGGTCTCACTCCGAATCAGTCGAGCGGCAATATCTTTTCATCGGTTGCGTAACGCTGTGTGGAAGCTACCTGGTCTGTCGCTCCGCACTAAGCTTGAGGTCTTCTCGGACACGGTCATTCCCTCCCTTATCTACGGTTGCGAAACGTGGACCCCCCCTAATGGAACATCTTCGCCGGTTGGAAACATTTAGGCTGGCCTGCCTACGATCCATCCTGGGTTTAACCAGCAGGCTGGATTGTGTGAGGAGCTCACAAATCCTTGAAAGATCTGGGCAAGGTCCCATCGGTGAGCTCCTCCGGCGGGCAAGGCTGCGTTGGCTGGTTCGACATTTCACGTGGCCTCAGGATGCACATAGCCTGGCACAAGCGTCGTGGTGACGTCACCAACACTTAGTGGCGAATGGCGGTTGTTGTTGTTGTGTGTGTGTGTGTGTCTGTGTGTGTGTCTGTGTGTGTGTTTGTGTGTGTCTGTGTGTGTGTCTGTGTGTGTCTGTGTGTGTCTGTGTGTGTGTGTCTGTGTGTGTGTGTCTGTGTGTGTGTGTCTGTGTGTAAGACCTACATCTCTGCTTTTCTGACCTGGTCAAGGCCTATGATACCATCAGTAGGCCTGGGCTCTGGGTTGTTCTTCATGCTTTTAGAGTACCTGACCCTCAGCTCACGATCATTAAGGACCTTCATGATGGTGAGCGGGCCCGGGTAAAACTACGTGGCCGGGAGTCAGAGCCATTCCCTGTACACCTTGGGGTGCGACAGGGATGTCGTCTGGCTCCCACATTATTTAACATCTATTTTGACCACGTAGTTCGTGAAGCCTTCAATAGCTGTACCGGGGGAATCTCCATATTGTACAGATATAATGGGAGGCTGATCGATGCCCGGTTGCGGTCAAGGGATAGCTCCCTATTGCTCAACCACGTTATGTATGCTGATGATTTGGTAATAGTTGCTCATTCAGAGGAGGAGTTGGAGACGCTGCTGCTGAGACTGGAGCGTGCCACTAAGAGGTGGGGCCTTACCATCAGCCCCATCAAAACTAAGCACCTGCCTGGGTATTTTGTACCATCGGACACTCCACCCCCACAACTCCCAATCGGTGATGGGGCAGTTGTGGAGAGAGTGGAGAGTTTCCCATACCTGGGCAGTGTGCTTATGACTGGCTCCAGTTTAACAGCAGAGGTCTCACTCCGAATCAGTCGAGCGGCAATATCTTTTCATCGGTTGCGTAACGCTGTGTGGAAGCTACCTGGTCTGTCGCTCCGCACTAAGCTTGAGGTCTTCTCGGCCACAGTCATTCCCTCCCTTATCTACGGTTGCGAAACGTGGACCCCCCCTAATGGAACATCTTCGCCGGTTGGAAACATTTAGGCTGGCCTGCCTACGATCCATCCTGGGTTTAACCAGCAGGCTGGATTGTGTGAGGAGCTCACAAATCCTTGAAAGATCTGGGCAAGGTCCCATCGGTGAGCTCCTCCGGCGGGCAAGGCTGCGATGGCTGGGTCATGTAGCCCGCATGCCGAAACAGCTTTTGTTCGGCCGGATCGAGGGGGCTAAACGGGCGCGGCACGGGCTAGAGAAGAGATGGAGTGATGTGGTACAGGAGGACGTGGAGCTGAGTGGACTTGCTGATGACCGGTACCAGCAGTGTCAAGATCGGCCTCTGTGGAGGAGGCTCGTGAAGGATGCTACTGGGCAGTTGGAGGCAGTCGCCCTCCAACAACAACGGAGGGCGGAGGAGCGACGCTCACAACAACGAGCGGAGCGCCGGGTGGCTAAAGCACAGCAGATTGGCACAGTAGGGGGCACAGGTGGTGCATCAGCCAGTCATCTCAGTCGACCCGTGGCACCTGGGTCTGCCCTGTGACCTCCTGCCAGCGGGCGTTCGACACTTCACGTGGCCTCAAGGTGCACCTAGCCTGGCACAAGCGTCGTGGTGACGTCACCACCACTTAGTGATGAATGGCGGTTGTTGTTGTGTGTGTGTATGTGTGTGTGTCTGTGTGTGTGTGTGTCAGTGTTTGTCACTGTGTGTGTGTGTCTCTGTGTGTGTATCACTGTGTGTGTGTCTGTGTGTGTGTGTCACTGTGTGTGTATCACTGTATGTGTGTGTCTGTGTGTGTGTCTGTGTGTCACTGTGTGTGTGTGTGTCACTGTGTGTGTCACTTTGTGTGTATCACTGTGTGTGTGTCTGTGTGTGTGTCACTGTGTGTGTCACTGTGTGTGTGTCACTGTGTGTGTATCACTGTGTGTGTATCACTGTGTGTGTATCACTGTGTGTCTGTGTGTGTGTGTCTGTGTGTATCTAGGCGTGCATGATCAAGCTGAACAGGAATTTGCCTCCTGCCTCCAGGAGACTCTCACTCAGCTCAACCTGGACAACACTGAGGTGTGAGCATCAGCAGCAGCATCATCAGCAGCATCATCATCAGCATCATCATCAGCATCATCATCAAGATAATTAGCAACATCATCACTACCACCACCATGACCACCACCATTACCACCATCACCACCACCATCACCACCACCACCATCACCATCACCACCATCACCACCACCATCACCACCACCACTATCACCACCACCACCACCATCACCACCACCACCATCACCACCACCACCACCGCCATCACGACCATCACCACCATCACCACCACCATCACCACCATCACCACCACCACCGCCATCACCACCATCACCACCACCATCATCACCATCACCACCACCATCGCCACCACCACCGCCATCACCACCGCCATCACCACCGCCATCACCACCATCACCACCACCACCACCACCATCACCACCACCATCACCACCGCCATCACCACCATCACCACCACCATCACCACCACCACCATCACCACCATCACCACCACCACCACCACCATCACCACCACCACCACCATCATCACCATCACCACCACCATCGCCACCACCACCGCCATCACCACCGCCATCACCACCATCACCACCACCATCACCACCACCACCATCACCACCATCACCACCACCACCATCACCACCACCACCATCACCACCATCACCACCATCACCATCATCACCATCACCACCACCACCATCACCACCACCATCACCACCATCACTACCATCATCACCACGATCATCACCATCACCACCATCACCACCATCACCATCATCACCACCATCACCACCACCATCACCACCATCATCACCACCATCACCACCATCACCACCATCACCATCATCACCACCATCACCACCATCACCACCACCACCATCACCACCACCATCACCACCACCACCATCACCACCACCATCACCACCATCACCATCACCACCATCACCACCACCATCACCACCACCATCACCACCATCATCACCACCATCATCACCATCACCACCATCACCACCATCACCATCATCACCACCATCACCACCACCATCACCACCATCACCACCATCATCACCACCATCATCACCACCATCACCACCATCACCATCATCATCACCACCATCACCACCACCATCATCACCACCATCACCACCATCATCACCACCATCACCACCACCACCATCACCACCACCGCCATCACCACCGCCATCACCATCACCACCACCATCACCACCATCACCATCACCACCACCACCACCATCACCACCACCATCACCACCATCACCACCATCACCACCACCACCACCACCATCATCACCACCACCACCACCATCACCACCACCATCACCACCATCACCACCACCATCACCACCATCACCACCACCACCATCATCACCACCACCACCATCACCACCACCACCATCACCATCACCACCATCACCACCACCACCACCACCGCTCACCCTGACCTGTCAATCATTCCAGGAGGCCGCCGCCCACCCGCCCCTCCCCGCCTCCCTCCTCGCCGCCCTCCAGGGCCTCGGATTGGACGAGGCCGCGCTGGAGGGCGGGGCCTCGGCGGGGGGCGGGGCCGGTCTCCATGGCGACGATGATGGAGGGGCCGCTGCCATGGCGATGCCTCTGATGCAGGGGGTGATGAGAAGCCTCGTGTCTAAGGAGGTCCTTTACCCCTCGCTACGGGAGCTTACGGATAGGGTGAGTCAGTCAGTCACTCAGTCAGTCACTCAGTCAGTCAGTCACTCAGTCACTCAGTCAGTCAGTCACTCAGTCAGTCAGTCACTCAGTCAGTCACTCAGTCAGTCACTCAGTCAGTCAGTCACTCAGTCAGTCACTCACTCAGTCAGTCACTCAGTCAGTCAGTCACTCAGTCAGTCACTCAGTCAGTCAGTCACTCAGTCAGTCAGTTAGTCAGTTAGTCAGTCAGTTAGTCAGTCAGTCACTCAGTCAGTCACTCAGTCAGTCAGTCACTCAGTCAGTCACTCAGTCAGTCAGTCACTCAGTCAGTCAGTTAGTCAGTTAGTCAGTCAGTTAGTCAGTCAGTCACTCAGTCAGTCACTCAGTCAGTCAGTCAGTCAGTTAGTCAGTTAGTCAGTCAGTTAGTCAGTCAGTCACTCAGTCAGTCACTCAGTCAGTCAGTCAGTCACTCAGTCAGTCAGTCAGTCAGTTAGTCAGTCACTCAGTCAGTCAGTCACTCAGTCACTCAGTCAGTCAGTTAGTCAGTCAGTCACTCAGTCAGTCACTCAGTCACTCAGTCAGTCACTCAGTCAGTCACTCAGTCAGTCAGTCACTCAGTCAGTTAGTCAGTTAGTCAGTCAGTTAGTCAGTCAGTCACTCAGTCAGTCACTCAGTCAGTCAGTCAGTCACTCAGTCAGTCAGTTAGTCACTCAATCAGTCACTCAGTCAGTTAGTCAGTCACTCAGTCAGTCAGTCAGTCAGTTAGTCAGTCACTCAGTCAGTCAGTCACTCAGTCACTCAGTCAGTCAGTTAGTCAGGTAGTCACTCAGTCAGTCAGTTAGTCAGTCAGTCACTCAGTCAGTCAGTCAGTCAGTCAGTTAGTCAGTCAGTCACTCAGTCAGTCAGTCACTCAGTCAGTTAGTCAGTCAGTCACTCAGTCAGTCACTCAGTCAGTCAGTCACTCAGTTAGTCAGGTAGTCAGTCAGTCACTCAGTCAGTCAGTCACTCAGTCAGTCAGTCAGTCACTCATTCACTCAGTCAGTCACTCAGTCAGTCACTCAGTCATTCAGTCAGTCACTCAGTCAGTCAGTCACTCAGTCAGTCAGTTAGTCAGTTAGTTAGTCAGTCAGTCACTCAGTCAGTCACTCAGTCAGTCACTCAGTCAGTCAGTCACTCAGTCAGTCAATCAGACACTCAGTCAGTCAGTGAGTCACTAAATCAGTCACTCAGTCAGTCACTCAGTCACTCAGTCAGTCAGTCACTCAGTCAGTCAGTGAGTCACTCAGTCAGTCACTCAGTCAGTCAGTCACTCAGTCAGTCAGTCACTCAGTCAGTCAGTCACTCAGTCACTCAGTTAGTCACTCAGGCAGTCAGTCACTCAGTCAGTCACTCACTCAGTCAGTCAGTCAGTTAGTCACTCAGGCAGTCAGTCACTCAGTCACTCAGTCAGTCAGTTAGTCACTCAATCAGTCACTCAGTCAGTTAGTCAGTCACTCAGTCAGTCAGTCAGTCGCTCAGTCAGTCACTCAGTCAGTCACTCAGTCAGTCACTCAGTCAGTCAGTCAGTCACTCAGTCAGTCACTCAGTCAGTCACTCAGTCAGTCAGTCACTCAGTCAGTTAGTCACTCAGTCGCTCAGTCAGTCACTCAGTCAGTCAGTCACTCAGTCAGTCACTCAGTCAGTCAATCAGTCACTCAGTCAGTCAGTGAGTCAGTCAGTCACTCAGTCAGTCAGTCACTCAGTCAGTCACTCACTCAGTCAGTCAGTCACTCAGTCACTCACTCAGTCAGTCAGTTAGTCACTCAATCAGTCACTCAGTCAGTTAGTCAGTCACTCAGTCAGTCAGTCAGTCGCTCAGTCAGTCACTCAGTCAGTCACTCAGTCAGTCAGTCAGTCACTCAGTCACTCAGTCAGTCACTCAGTCAGTCACTCAGTCAGTCAGTCACTCAGTCAGTTAGTCACTCAGTCGCTCAGTCAGTCACTCAGTCAGTCAGTCACTCAGTCAGTCACTCAGTCAGTCAGTCACTCAGTCAGTGAGTCAGTCAGTCAGTCAGTCACTCACTCAGTCAGTCACTCACTCAGTCACTCAGTCAGTCACTCAGTCACTCACTCAGTCAGTCAGTTAGTCACTCAATCAGTCACTCAGTCAGTTAGTCAGTCACTCAGTCAGTCAGTCAGTCAGTCGCTCAGTCAGTCACTCAGTCAGTCACTCAGTCAGTCACTCAGTCAGTCAGTCACTCAGTCAGTCACTCAGTCAGTCACTCAGTCAGTCAGTCACTCAGTCAGTTAGTCACTCAGTCGCTCAGTCAGTCACTCAGTCAGTCAGTCACTCAGTCAGTCACTCAGTCACTCAGTCAGTCAGTTAGTCACTCAGTCAGTCACTCAGTCAGTCACTCAGTCAGTCACTCACTCAGTCACTCAGTCAGTCACTCAGTCAGTCAGTGAGTCAGTCACTCAGTCAGTCACTCACTCAGTCACTCAGTCAGTCAGTCAGTCAGTGAGTCAGTCACTCAGTAAGTCACTCAGTCAGTCAGTCACTCACTCCGTCAGTCACTCAGTCAGTCACTCACTCAGTCAGTCACTCAGTCAGTTACTCAGTCACTCAGTCAGTCACTTAGTCACTCAGTCAGTCACTCAGTCACTTAGTCAGTCCGGGTGAGCTCCCTTGTCTCTCTCTGTGTGTCTTTGTGAGTCTCTGTGTGTCTCTGTGAGTCTCTCACCGTGTCTCTCCCTGTGTCTCTGTGTCTCACTCTGTGTGTCTCTCCTTGTCTCACTCTGTGTGTCTCTGTGTCTCTGTGTGTCTCACTCTGTGTGTGTCTCTGTGTGTCTCTGTGTGTCTCTGTGTGTGTCTCTGTGTGTCACTGTGTGTCACTGTGTGTCTCACTCTGTGTCTCTCTGTCTCTCTGTCTCTGTCTCTCTCTGTGTCTCTCTCTGTGTCTCTCTGTGTCTCACTGTGTGTCTCTGTGTGTCTCTGTGTGTCTCACTCTGTGTCTCTGTGTCTCACTCTGTGTCTCTCTGTGTGTCTCCAGTTTCCCGTGTGGCTGGAGACCAACTCACACCGCCTCTCAACCCAAGACCAGTCTCGTTACTACGACCAGATCAGTGTCTGTCTCTGTGTCTCTGTGTCTTTCTGTGTCTCTCTGTGTGTCTCTGTGTGTCTCCTATGTGTGTCTCTGTGTGTCTCTGTGTCTCTCTCTGTCTCTCTGTCTCTGTGTGTCACTCTGTGTCTCTCTCTGTGTCTCTGTGTGTCTCACTCTCTGTGTGTCTCACTCTGTGTGTCTCACTCTGTATATGTCTCACTCTGTGTGTGTCTCACTCTGTGTCTCACTCTGTGTGTCTCACTCTGTGTGTGTCTCACTCTGTGTCTCACTCTGTGTCTCTCTGTCTCCAGTTTCCCGTGTGGCTGGAGACGAACTCACACCGTCTGTCAACCCAAGACCAGTCTCGCTACCACGACCAGATCCGTGTCTGTCTCTCTGTCTCTTGTCTCTCTCAGTGTCTCTCTGTCTCTCTGTGTGTCTCTGTGTCTCTCTCTGAGTGTCTCTGTGTGTCTCTCTGTCTCTCTGTGTCACTCTGTGTGTCTCACTCTGTGTGTCTCTCTGTGTGTCTCACTGTGTCTCACTCTGTGTGTCTCTGTGTGTCTCCAGTTTCCCGTGTGGCTGGAGACCAACTCACACCGTCTGTCAACCCAAGACCAGTCTCGCTACCACAACCAGATCCGTGTCTCTCTCTTTGTCTCTGTGTCTCTCTGTGTCTCTCTGTCTCTCTGTGTGTCTCTGTGTGTCTCTGTGTGTCTCTCTCTGTGTCTCTGGCTCTCTGTGTGTCTCTCTGTCTCTCTGTGTCTCTGTCTCTGTGTCTCTCTCTGTCTCTGTCTCTCTGTGTGTCTCTCTGTCTCTCTGTGTCTCTGTCTCTCTGTGTCTCTCTCTGGGTGTCTCTGTGTGTCTCTCTGTCTCTCTGTGTCACTCTGTGTGTCTCACTCTGTGTGTCTCTCTGTGCGTCTCACTGTGTCTCACTCTGTGTCTCTCTGTGTCTCACTGTGTGTCTCACTCTGTGTGTCTCTCTGTGTGTCTCACTGTGTTTCACTCTGTGTGTCTGTGTGTCTCACTGTGTGTCTCACTCTGTGTGTCTCTCTGTGTGTCTCCAGTTTCCCGTGTGGCTGGAGACCAACTCACACCGCCTCTCAACCCAAGACCAGTCTCGTTACCACGACCAGATCCGTGTCTCTCTCTTTGTCTCTGTGTCTCTCTGTGTCTCTCTGTCTCTCTGTGTGTCTCTGTGTGTCTCTGTGTGTCTCTGTGTGTCTCTCTCTGTGTCTCTGGCTCTCTGTGTGTCTCTCTGTCTCTCTGTGTCTCTGTCTCTGTGTCTCTCTCTGTCTCTGTCTCTCTGTGTCTCTCTCTGGGTGTCTCTGTGTGTCTCTCTGTCTCTCTGTGTCACTCTGTGTGTCTCACTCTGTGTGTCTCTCTGTGTGTCTCACTGTGTCTCACTCTGTGTCTCTCTGTGTCTCACTGTGTGTCTCACTCTGTGTGTCTCTCTGTGTGTCTCACTGTGTCTCACTCTGTGTGTCTGTGTGACTCACTGTGTGTCTCACTCTGTGTGTCTCTCTGTGTGTCTCCAGTTTCCCGTGTGGCTGGAGACCAACTCACACCGCCTCTCAACCCAAGACCAGTCTCGTTACCACGACCAGATCCGTGTCTCTCTCTCTGTCTCTGTCTCCCTCTGTGTCTCTGTGTGTCTCTGTGTGTCTCTGTCTCTCTCTGTGTCTCTGTCTCTGTGTCTCTGTGTCTCACTGTGTATCTCTCTGTCTCTCTGTGTCTCTCTCTGTGTCTCACTGTGTGTCTCTCTGTGTGTCTCTCTCTGTGTATCTCTCTCTGTGTGTCTCTGTGTCTCAGTCTGTGTCTCACTAGTGTCTCACTCTGTGTGTCTCTCTGTGTGTCTCTGTGTCTCACTCTGTGTCTCACTGTGTGTCTCACTCTGTGTGTCTCTCTGTGTGTCTCTGTGTCTCACTCTGTGTCTCACTGTGTGTCTCACTGTGTGTGTCTGTGTGTCTCACTCTGTGTGTCTCTGTGTCTCTGTGTGTGTCTCCAGTTTCCCGTGTGGCTGGAGACCAACTCACACCGCCTCTCAACCCAAGACCAGTCTCGTTACCACGACCAGATCCGTGTCTCTGTCTCTCTCTGTGTCTCTCTCTGTGTGTCTCTGTGTGTCTCACTCTGTGTGTCTCACTCTGTGTGTCTCACTCTGTGTGTGTCTCACTGTGTGTCTCACTGTGTGTCTCTGTCTCTCTGTGTGTCTCCAGTTTCCCGTGTGGCTGGAGACCAACTCACACCGCCTCTCAACCCAAGACCAGTCTCGCTACCACGACCAGATCCGTGTCTCTGTCTCTCTCTGTGTCTCTCTCTGTGTGTCTCTGTGTGTCTCACTCTGTGTGTCTCACTCTGTGTGTCTCACTCTGTGTGTGTCTCACTGTGTGTCTCACTGTGTGTCTCTGTCTCTCTGTGTGTCTCCAGTTTCCCGTGTGGCTGGAGACCAACTCACACCGCCTCTCAACCCAAGACCAGTCTCGTTACCACGTCCAGATCCGTGTCTCTCTCTCTCTGTCTCTGTCTCTCTCTGTGTCTCTGTGTGTCTCTGTCTCTCTGTCTCTCTCTGTGTCTCTGTCTCTGTGTCTCACTGTGTGTCTCTCTGTCTCTCTGTGTCTTTCTCTGTGTCTCACTGTGTGTCTCTCTGTCTCTCTGTGTCTTTCTCTGTGTCTCACTGTGTGTCTCTCTGTGTGTCTCTCTCTGTGTATCTCTCTCTGTGTGTCTCTGTGTCTCAGTCTGTGTCTCACTGTGTGTCTCACTCTGTGTGTGTCTCACTGTGTGTCTCACTGTGTGTCTCTGTCTCTCTGTGTGTGTCTCCAGTTTCCCGTGTGGCTGGAGACCAACTCACACCGCCTCTCAACCCAAGACCAATCTCGCTACCAGGACCAGATCCGAGTGATGTCACTTTTGTGTCGCGAATTTGAGACGGAGGAGGATGGGGGGGAGGGGCCCCTCCCCCCACTCGCCCCCCGGGGGGGAGGGGGAGGCGGGGGAGATGAGAAGTTCAATAGAATTATGGAGCTGATGCAGATGGTGAGTGGGTGGGTGAGTGGGTGGGTGGGTGGGTGAGTGGGTGGGTGGGTGAGTGGGTGAGTGGGTGGGTGAGTGGGTGAGTGGGTGAGTGAGTGAGTGAGTGGGCGAGTGGGTGAGTGGGTGAGTGAGTGAGTGAGTGGGTGGGTGGGTGGGTGGGTGAGTGGGTGGGTGAGTGGGTGGGTGAGTGGGTGAGTGGGTGGGTGAGTGGGTGAGTGGGTGGGTGAGTGGGTGGGAGAGTGAGTGAGTGGGTGAGTGAGTGAGTGGGTGAGTGAGTGGGTGGGTGGGTGGGTGAGTGAGTGAGTGGGTGGGTGGGTGAGTGAGTGAGTGGGTGGGTGGGTGGGTGAGTGGGTGGGTGGGTGGGTGAGTGAGTGGGTGAGTGAGTGAGTGGGTGAGTGAGTGGGTGAGTGAGTGAGTGAGTGGGTGAGTGAGTGGGTGAGTGGGTGAGTGAGTGGGTGAGTGAGTGAGTGGGTGAGTGAGTGGGTGAGTGGGTCAGTGAGTGGGTGGGTGGGTGGGTGAGCGGGTGAGTGGGTGAGTGAGTGAGTGAGTGGGTGAGTGGGTGGGTGGGTGGGTGAGTGGGTGAGTGGGTGGGTGAGTGGGTGGGTGGGTGGGTGAGTGGGTGGGTGGGTGGGTGGGTGAGTGAGTGGGTGAGTGGGTGGGTGGGTGAGTGGGTGGGAGAGTGAGTGAGTGGGTGAGTGGGTGAGTGAGTGGGTGAGTGAGTGAGTCGGTGAGTGAGTGAGTGGGTGAGTGAGTGGGTGGGTGAGTGGGTGGGTGAGTGGGTGAGTGGGTGGGTGAGTGAGTGAGTGGGTGAGTGAGTGGGTGAGTGAGTGGGTGGGTGAGTGAGTGAGTGAGTGGGTGGGTGGGTGAGTGGGTGGGAGAGTGAGTGAGTGGGTGAGTGAGTGAGTGGGTGACTGGGTGAGTGAGTGAGTGAGTGAGTGGGTGAGTGAGTGGGTGGGTGGGTGAGTGGGTGAGTGAGTGGGTGAGTGAGTGGGTGGGTGAGTGAGTGAGTGGGTGGGTGGGTGAGTGGGTGGGAGAGTGAGTGAGTGGGTGAGTGAGTGAGTGGGTGAGTGAGTGGGTGGGTGGGTGGGTGGGTGAGTGAGTGAGTGAGTGGGTGGGTGGGTGAGTGAGTGAGTGGGTGGGTGGGTGGGTGAGTGGGTGGGTGGGTGAGTGGGTGAGTGAGTGGGTGAGTGAGTGGGTGAGTGAGTGGGTGAGTGGGTGAGTGAGTGGGTGAGTGAGTGAGTGGGTGAGTGAGTGAGTGGGTGGGTGGGTGGGTGAGTGGGTGGGTGGGTGAGTGAGTGAGTGAGTGGGTGAGTGAGTGGGTGAGTGAGTGGGTGAGTGAGTGGGTGAGTGAGTGGGTGAGTGAGTGAGTGGGTGAGTGGGTGAGTGAGTGAGTGGGTGAGTGGGTGAGTGAGTGGGTGAGTAAGTGGGTGAGTGAGTGAGTGAGTGGGTGAGTGAGTGAGTGGGTGGGTGGGTGAGTGGGTGGGTGGGTGAGTGGGTGAGTGGGTGGGTGGGTGAATGGGTGAGTGAGTGGGTGGGTGAGTGAGTGGGTGGGTGAGTGAGTGGGTGAGTGGGTGGGTGAGTGAGTGGGTGAGTGGGTGGGTGAGTGAGTGAGTGGGTGAGTGGGTGGGTGAGTGAGTGAGTGGGTGAGTGAGTGGGTGGGTGGGTGGGTGAGTGAGTGGGTGAGTGGGTGGGTGAGTGAGTGAGTGGGTGAGTGGGTGGGTGAGTGAGTGAGTGGGTGAGTGAGTGGGTGGGTGGGTGGGTGGGTGAGTGAGTGGGTGGGTGGGTGAGTGGGTGGGTGGGTGACTGGGTGGGTGAGTGAGTGAGTGAGTGGGTGGGTGGGTGGGTGAGTGAGTGGGTGAGTGGGTGGGTGAGTGGGTGGGTGAGTGGGTGGGTGAGTGGGTGGGTGGGTGAGTGAGTGGGTGGGTGAGTGAGTGAGTGAGTGGGTGAGTGAGTGGGTGGGTGGGTGGATGAGTGAGTGGGTGAGTGGGTGGGTGGGTGAGCGAGTGAGTGGGTGAGTGGGTGGGTGAGTGAGTGAGTGAGTGGGTGAGTGAGTGGGTGGGTGGGTGAGTGGCTGGGTGAGTGAGTGGGTGAGTGGGTGAGTGAGTGGGTGAGTGAGTGGGTGGGTGGGTGAGTGGGTGAGTGAGTGAGTGAGTGGGTGAGTGTGTGAGTGGGTGGGTGAGTGGGTGAGTGAGTGGGTGGGTGAGTGAGTGGGTGGGTGAGTGAGTGGGTGGGTGAGTGGGTGAGTGAGTGGGTGAGTGAGTGGGTGAGTGAGTGGGTGAGTGGGTGGGTGGGTGGCTGGGTGGGTGAGTGGGTGGGTGGGTGAGTGGGTGGGTGAGTGAGTGGGTGAGTGGGTGAGTGAGTGGGTGGGTGGGTGAGTGGGTGAGTGAGTGGGTGGGTGAGTGAGTGAGTGGGTGGGTGAGTGTGTGAGTGGGTGGGTGAGTGAGTGAGTGAGTGTGTGAGTGAGTGGGTGAGTGAGTGGGTGAGTGAGTGTGTGAGTGGGTGAGTGAGTGGGTGAGTGAGTGGGTGAGTGAGTGAGTGGGTGAGTGAGTGAGTGGGTGGGTGGGTGGGTGAGTGAGTGAGTGAGTGGGTGGGTGGGTGGGTGAGTGGGTGGGTACGTGGGTGAGTGGGTGGGTGGGTGGGTGGGTGGGTGAGTGGGTGGGTGGGTGGGTGAGTGGGTGGGTGGGTGGGTGAGTGGGTGGGTGGGTGGGTGAGTGGGTGGGTGGGTGGGTGAGTGGGTGGGTGGGTGAGTGGGTGGGTGGGTGGGTGAGTGGGTGGGTGGGTGGGTGGGTGGGTGGGTGGGTGGGTGGGTGAGTGGGTGGGTGGGTGAGTGGGTGGGTGGGTGAGTGGGTGGGTGAGTGGGTGGGTGGGTGAGTGGGTGGGTGGGTGGGTGGGTGAGTGGGTGGGTGGGTGAGTGGGTGGGTGGGTGAGTGGGTGGGTGAGTGGGTGGGTGGGTGAGTGGGTGGGTGAGTGGGTGGGTGAGTGGGTGGGTGGGTGAGTGGGTGGGTGGGTGGGTGAGTGAGTGGGTGAGTGGGTGGGTGAGTGAGTGGGTGAGTGGGTGGGGGAGTGAGTGGGTGAGTGAGTGGGTGGGTGAGTGGGTGGGTGGGTGGGTGGATGGGTGAGTGGGTGGGTGAGTGAGTGAGTGGGTGGGTGGGTGGGTGGTGAGTGGGTGGGTGGGTGAGTGGGTGGGTGGGTGAGTGGGTGGGTGAGTGGGTGGGTGGGTGGGTGAGTGGGTGGGTGGGTGGGTGGGTGGGTGGGTGGGTGGGTGAGTGGGTGGGTGGGTGGGTGAGTGGGTGGGTGGGTGAGTGGGTGGGTGGGTGGGTGAGTGGGTGGGTGGGTGGGTGGGTGAGTGGGTGGGTGGGTGGGTGAGTGGGTGGGTGGGTGGGTGAGTGGGTGAGTGAGTGAGAGGGTGAGTGAGTGGGTGGGTGGGTGAGTGAGTGGGTGGGTGAGTGAGTAAGTGGGTGAGTGGGTGGGTGGGTGAGTGAGTGGGTGGGTGGGTCGGTGGGTGGGTGAGTGGGTGAGTGAGTGGGTGGGTGAGTGGGTTGGTGAGTGAGTGGGTGGGTGGGTGAGTGGGTGGGTGGGTGGGTGAGTGGGTGGGTGGGTGAGTGGGTGGGTGGGTGAGTGGGTGGGTGAGTGGGTGGGTGAGTGGGTGGGTGAGTGGGTGGGTGAGTGGGTGGGTGAGTGAGGGAGTGGGTGAGTGAGTGGGTGGGTGAGTGGGTGAGTGAGTGGGTGAGTGGATGGGTGAGTGAGTGGGTGAGTGGGTGGGTGGGTGGGTGAGTGGGTGGGTGGGTGGGTGAGTGGGTGGGTGGGTGGGTGAGTGGGTGGGTGGGTGTGTGAGTGGGTGAGTGAGTGAGAGGGTGAGTGAGTGGGTGGGTGGGTGAGTGGGTGGGTGGGTGAGTGGGTGAGTGGGTGGGTGAGTGAGTGGGTGAGTGGGTGGGTGGGTGGGTGAGTGGGTGGGTGGGTGGGTGAGTGAGTGGGTGAGTGGGTGAGTGGGTGGGTGGGTGAGTGAGTGGGTGGGTGGGTGGGTGGGTGGGTGAGTGGGTGGGTGGGTGAGTGGGTGGGTGGGTGAGTGGGTGGGTGGGTGGGTGAGTGAGTGAGTGGGTGGGTGGGTGAGTGAGTGGGTGGGTGGGTGAGTGAGTGGGCGGGTGGGTGAGTGGGCGAGTGGGTGGGTGGGTGGGTGAGTGGGTGAGTGAGTGGGTGGGTGAGTGAGTGAGTGAGTGGGTGAGTGAGTGGGTGGGTGGGTGGATGAGTGAGTGGGTGAGTGAGTGGGTGAGTGAGTGGGTGAGTGAGTGAGTGGGTGGGTGGGTGGGTGGATGAGTGAGTGGGTGAGTGGATGGGTGGGTGAGTGGGTGGGTGAGTGAGTGAGTGGGTGGGTGGGTGAGTGGGTGAGTGAGTGGGTGGGTGAGTGGGTGGGTGGGTGAGTGTGTGGGTGGGTGGGTGAGTGGGTGGGTGGGTGAGTGGGTTGGTGGGTGAGTGGGTGAGTGGGTGGGTGAGTGGGTGGGTGAGTGGGTGGGTGAGTGGGTGGGTGAGTGAGTGGGTGAGTGGGTGGGTGAGTGAGTGGGTGTGTGGGTGGGTGGGTGGGTGAGTGGGTGGGTGGGTGGGTGAGTAGGTGGGTGAGTGAGAGGGTGAGTGGGTGGGTGAGTGAGTGGGTGAGTGGGTGAGTGAGTGGGTGAGTGAGTGGGTGGGTGAGTGGGTGGGTGAGTGGGTGGGTGAGTGAGTGGGTGGGTGGGTGGGTGGGTGAGTGGGTGGGTGGGTGAGTGGGTGAGTGGGTGGGTGGGTGAGTGGGTGGGTGGGTGAGTGGGTGGGTGGGTGAGTGGGTGAGTGGGTGGGTGGGTGGGTGAGTGGGTGGGTGAGTGGGTGAGTGAGTGAGTGGGTGGGTGAGTGGGTGGGTGAGTGGGTGAGTGAGTGAGTGGGTGGGTGAGTGGGTGAGTGAGTGGGCGGGTGGATGAGTAAGTTGGGTGGGTGGATGAGTGAGTGGGTGGGTGGGTGGATGAGTGAGTGGGTGAATGAGTGAGTGAGTGGGTGGGTGGGTGGATGAGTGAGTGGGTGAGTGGATGGGTGGGTGAGTGAGTGGGTGAGTGAGTGGGTGGGTGAGTGGGTGGGTGAGTGTGTGGGTGGGTGGGTGAGTGGGTGGGTGGGTGAGTGCGTTGGTGGGTGAGTGGGTGAGTGGGTGGGTGAGTGGGTGGGTAAGTGGGTGGGTGTGTGAGTGGGTGAGTGGGTGGGTGAGTGAGTGGGTGTGTGGGTGGGTGGGTGAGTGGGTGGGTGGGTGAGTGGGTGGGTGGGTGAGTGGGTGGGTGGGTGGGTGAGTGAGTGGCTGGGTGAGTGAGAGGGTGAGTGGGTGGGTGAGTGAGTGGGTGAGTGGGTGGGGGGAGTGAGTGGGTGAGTGAGTGGGTGGGTGAGTGGGTGGGTGGGTGAGTGAGTGAGTGAGTGGGTGGGTGGATGGGTGAGTGGGTGGGTGAGTGAGTGAGTGGGTGGGTGGGTGGGTGAGTGAGTGAGTGAGTGGGTGAGTGGGTGAGTGAGTGAGTGGGTGGGTGGGTGGGTGAGTGGGTGAGTGGGTAGGTTGGTGGGTGAGTGGGTGAGTGGGTGAGTGAGTGAGTGAGTGGGTGAGTGAGTGAGTCGGTGGTTGAGTGGGTGGGTGGGTGACTGGGTGGGTGAGTGAGTGAGTGAGTGGGTGAGTGAGTGGGTGAGTGGGTGGATGAGTGAGTGGGTGGGTGAGTGAGTGGGTGAGTGAGTGAGTGAGTGGGTGAGTGAGTGAGTGGGTGGGTGGGTGAGTGAGTGAGTGAGTGGGTGGGTGAGTGAGTGGGTGGGTGGGTGAGTGGGTGAGTGAGTGAGTGGGTGAGTGAGTGGGTGAGTGAGTGGGTGGGTGGGTGGGTGGATGAGTGAGTGGGTGAGTGGATGAGTGAGTGGGTGATTGAGTGGGTGGGTGGGTGGGTGGATGAGTGAGTGGGTGGGTGGATGAGTGAGTGGGTGAGTGAGTGAGTGAGTGCGTGAGTGAGTGAGTGAGTGGGTGGGTGAGTGGGTGGGTGAGTGAGTGGGTGGGTGAGTGAGTGGGTGTGTAAGTGAGTGGGTGGGTGAGTGAGTGAGTGACTGAGTGAGTGACTGAGTGGGTGAGTGACTTAGTAATTTCTTTTTTGTAGATGCAAGAGCTTGGACATCCACCGAAGGAGCTCTGTGGTGAAGGGGTGAGACTCACCAACTCACTCACCAACTCACTCACCAACTCACTCACCAACTCACTCACCAACTCACTCACCAACTCACCAACTCACTCACCAACTCACTCACTCACCAACTCACTCACTCACCCACTCACTCACCAACTCACTCACCAACTCACTCACTCACCAACTCACTCACCCACTCACTCACTCACCAACTCACTCACCAACTCACTCACTCACCAACTCACTCACTCACCAACTCACTCACCAACTCACTCACCAACTCACTCACTCACCAACTCACTCACTCACCCACTCACTCACCAACTCACTCACCAACTCACTCACCAACTCACTCACCAACTCACCAACTCACTCACCAACTCACTCACCAACTCACTCACCAACTCACCCACTCACTCACTCACCAACTCACTCACCAACTCACTCACCAACTCACTCACCAACTCAGTGTCTGTATGTAAGTGTCTCAGTGTCTGTGTGTAAGTGTCTGTATGTAAGTGTCTGTATATGTGTCTGTATGTAAGTGTTTGTATGTAAGTGTCTGTGCGTAAGTGTCTGTATGTAAGTGTCTAAGTGTCTCAGTGTATGTATGTAAGTGTCTGTATGTAAGTGTCTGTATGTAAGTGTCTCAGTGTCTGTATGTAAGTGTCTGTATGTAAGTGTCTGTATGTAAGTATCTGTATGTAAATGTCTGTGTGTAAGTGTCTGTATGTAAGTGTCTTAAAGTCTGTATGTAAGTGTCTGTATGTAAGTGTCTGTATGTGTCTGTATGTAAGTGTCTGTATGTAAGTGTCTTTATGTAAGTGGCTGTATGTAAGTGTCTGTAAGTGTCTGTATGTAAGTATCTGTATGTAAGTGTCTGTATGTAAGTTTCTGTATGTAAGTGTCTGTTTGTAAGTGTCTGTATGTAAGTGTCTGTATGTAAGTGCCTGTTTGTAAGTGTCTGTATGTAAGTGTCTGTATATAAGTGCCTGTATGTAAGTGTCTGTATGTAAGTGTCTCAGTGTCTGTATGTAAGTGTCTGTATGTAAGTGTCTAAGTGTCTGTATGTAAGTGTCTGTATGTAAGGTTATGTATGTAAGTGTCTGTAAGTAGTGTCTCTATGGAAGTGTATCAGTGTCTGTATGTAAGTGTCTTATGTAAGTGTCTCAATGTAAGTGTCTGTATGTAAATGTCTGTATGTCAGTGTCACAGTGTCTGTATGTAAGTGTCTGTATGTAAGCGTCTATATGTGTCTATGTAAGTGTCTCAGTGTCTGTATGTAAGTGTCTGTATGTAAGTGTCTGTATGTAAGTGTCTCAGTGTCTGTATGTAAGTGTCTGTATGTAAGTGTCTGTATGTAAGTGTCTGTATGTAAGTGTCTTTATGTAAGTGTCTCAGTGTCTGTATGTAAGTGTCTGTATGTAAGCGTCTGTATGTAAGTGTTTATGTAAGTGTCTCAGTGTCTGTATGTAAGTGTCTGTATGTAAGTGTCTCAGTGTCTGTATGTAAGTGTCTCAGTGTCTGTATGTAAGTGTCTGTATGTAAGTGTCTCAGTGTATGTATGTAAGTGTCTGTATGTAAGTGTCTGTATGTAAGTGTCTGTATGTAAGTGTCTGTATGTAAGTGTCTGAGTGTCTGTATGTAAGTGTATGTAAGCGTCTGTATGTAAGTGTCTATGTAAGTGTCTCAGTGTCTGTATGAAAGTGTCTGTATGTAAGTGTCTGTATGTAAGTGTTTGTATGTAAGTGTCTGTATGTAAGTGTCTCAGTGTCTGTTTGTGTCAGTATGTAAGTGTCTGTATGTAAGTGCCTATATGTAAGTGTCTGTATGTAAGTGTCTGTATGTAAGTGTCTGTATGTAAGTGTCTGTATGTAAGTGTCTGTATGTAAGTGTCTGTATATGTGTCTGTATGTAAGTGTCTGTATGTAAGTGTCTGTGCGTAAGTGTCTGTACGTAAGTGTCTGTATGTAAGTGTCTCAGTGTCTGTATGTAAGTGTCTGTAAGTGTCTGTATGTAAGTGTCTCAGTGTCTGTATGTAAGCATCTGTATGTAAGTGTCTATGTAAGTGTCTCAGTGTCTGTCTGTAAGTGTCTGTATGTAAGTGTCTCAGTGTCTGTATGTAAGTGTCTCAGTGTATGTATGTAAGTGTCTGTATGTAAGTGTCTCAGTGTCTGTATGTAAGTGTCTGTATGTAAGTGTCTGTATGTAAGTGTCTGTATGTAAGTGTCTGAGTGTCTGTATGTAAGTGTATGTAAGCATCTGTATGTAAGTGTCTATGTAAGTGTCTCAGTGTCTGTATGTAAGTGTCTTTATGTAAGAGTCTGTATGTAAGTGTCTGTATGTAACTGTCTAAGTGTCTGTATGTAAGTGTCTTTATGTAAGAGTCTGTATGTAAGTGTCTGTATGTAAGTGTCTAAGTGTCTGTATGTAAGGGTCTGTATGGAAGTGTCTGTTTGTAAGTGTCTGTATGTAAGTGTTTGTATGTAAGTGTCTTTATGTTAAGTGTTTGTATGTAAGTGTCTCAGTGTCTGTTTGTGTCAGTATGTAAGTGTCTGTATGTAAGTGTCTATGTAAGTGTCTATGTAAGTGTCTGTATGTAAGTGCCTGTATGTAAGTGTCCGTATGTAAGTGTCTGTATGTAAGTGTCTGTATGTAAGTGTGTGTATGTAAGTGTCTGTATGTAAGTGTCTGTATGTAAGTGTCTCAGTATCTGTTTGGAAATGTCTTTATGTAAGTGTCTGTATGTAAGTGTCTGTATGTAAGTGTCTGTATGTAAGTCTCAGTGTCTGTATGTCAGTGTGTGTTTGTAAGTATCTGTATGTAAGTGTCTGTATGTAAGTGTCTGTATTTAAGTGTCTCAGTGTCTGTAAGTAAGTGTCTAAGTAAGTGTCTGTATGTAAGTGTCTGTATGTAAGTGTCTGTATGTTAAGTATTTGCATGTAAGTGTCTCAGTGTCTGTATGTAAGTGTCTGTATTTAAGTGTCTGTATGTAAGTGTCTGTATGTAAGTGTCTGTATGTTAAGTGTCTGTATGTAAGTGTCTGTATGTAAGTATCTCAGTGTCTGTATGTAAGTGTCTGTATGTAAGTGTCTGTATGTAAGTGTCTCAGTGTCTGTATGTAAGTGTCTGTATGTAAGTGTCTGTATGTAAGTATCTGTATGTAAATGTCTGTGTGTAAGTGTCTGTATGTAAGTGTCTTAAAGTCTGTATGTAAGTGTCTGTATGTAAGTGTCTGTATGTGTCTGTATGTAAGTGTCTGTATGTAAGTGTCTCTATGTAAGTGGCTGTATGTAAGTGTCTGTAAGTGTCTGTATGTAAGTATCTGTATGTAAGTGTCTGTATGTAAGTTTCTGTATGTAAGTGTCTGTTTGTAAGTGTCTGTATGTAAGTGTCTGTATGTAAGTGCCTGTTTGTAAGTGTCTGTGTGTAAGTGTCTGTATATAAGTGCCTGTATGTAAGTGTCTGTATGTAAGTGTCTCAGTGTCCGTATGGAAGTGTCTGTATGTAAGTTTCTAAGTCTCTGTATGTAAGTGTCTGTATGTAAGGTTATGTATGTAAGTGTCTGTAAGTAGTGTCTCTATGTAAGTGTATCAGTGTCTGTATGTAAGTGTCTGTATGTAAGTGTCTCAATGTAAGTGTCTGTATGTAAGTGTCTGTATGTCAGTGTCACAGTGTCTGTATGTAAGTGTTTGTATGTAAGCGTCTATATGTGTCTATGTAAGTGTCTCAGTGTCTGTATGTAAGTGTCTGTATGTAAGTGTCTGTATGTAAGTGTCTCAGTGTCTGTATGTAAGTGTCTGTATGTAAGCGTCTGTATGTAAGTGTTTATGTAAGTGTCTCAGTGTCTGTATGTAGTGTAGCGGTTAGCGCTACGCTGCGCTATGAACCTGGCGACCCGGGTTCGATTCCCCCTCACGGCCAACACCAGTGACGATTATCTGAACCGGTCCCGGGCCTCCCCTAGGTCGACTCAGCCTCAAATGAGTACCTGGTGCGGTGTGTAAACATTGCCACTAGGGAGACAAAGGCGGTCGGGCGTGGTGCTGGCCACCCACCCCCTCGTGTACCGTTCCGGCCTTCATAGGTGCTCGCTAACAGCACTTGCCCCTACAGTCTGTTAAGGCTATATGGGGAATCTTTGTATGTAAGTGTCTCAGTGTCTGTATGTAAGTGTCTCAGTGTCTCTATGTAAGTGTCTGTATGTAAGTGTCTCAGTGTCTGTATGTAAGTGTCTCAGTGTCTCTATGTAAGTGTCTGTATGTAAGTGTTTAAGTGTCTGTATGTAAGTGTTTGTATGTAAGTGTCTGTATGTAAGTGTCTGTATGTAAGTGTCTGTATGTAAGTGTCTGAGTGTCTGTATGTAAGTGTATGTAAGCGTATGTATGTAAGTGTCTATGTAAGTGTCTCAGTGTCTGTATGTAAGTGTCTGTATGTAAGTGTCTGTATGTAAGTGTCTCAATGTCTGTATGTAAGTGTATGTATGTAATTGTCTGCATGTAAGTGTCTTTATGTAAGAGTCTGTATGTAAGTGTCTGTATGTAAGTGTCTAAGTGTCTGTATGTAAGTGTCTTTATGTAAGAGTCTGTATGTAAGTGTCTGTATGTAAGTATCTAAGTGTCTGTATGTAAGGGTCTGTATGTAAGTGTCTGTATGTAAGTGTCTGTATGTAAGTGTTTGTATGTAAGTGTCTGTATGTAAGTGTCTCAGTGTCTGTTTGTGTCAGTATGTAAGTGTCTGTATGTAAGTGTCTATGTAAGTGTCTGTATGTAAGTGCCTGTATGTAAGTGTCTGTATGTAAGTGTCTGTATGTAAGTGTCTGTATGTAAGTCTCAGTGTCTGTATGTCAGTGTGTGTTTGTAAGTGTCTGTATGTAAGTGTCTGTATGTAAGTGTCTGTATTTAGGTGTCTCAGTGTCTGTAAGTAAGTGTCTAAGTAAGTGTCTGTATGTAAGTGTCTGTATGTAAGTGTCTGTATGTTAACTGTTTGTATGTAAGTGTCTGTATGTGAATATCTCAGTGTCTGTATGTAAGTGTCTGTATGTAAGTGTCTGTATGTAAGTGTCTCAGTGTCTGTATGTAAGTGTCTGTATGTAAGTGT